CCATACAAAAGCTATATTGACAGCGCGATATTGGCTTTGCAAGAGTCAGGAGAGTTATTGGCACTGAAGAAAAAGTGGTGGGAGGAAGAGGACAACGTTTCTCATTGCGAAGTAATTATTTACAAATATTGTACTGTATCTATTAAAATTGTTTGATTTACCCGAGAAAGAAGGAGACGTTCAGAGAAATCTATAAAAGTTTTACATTATCTGATTTACACCTAAAAACACATGAACATTGAAATTATCCGACTTCAAGCGGTAAAAGTAACAATTGCAGTAAAAATTATTTTTTCTGGTCTTTTCGTGCTTTTTGTGCTTCTATAGATACCTACATAGATCTTTACATAATTGAAAGCCAATTTGTCGGCCGGCTTATAGCGAAATAATATGTTTTTCTGATACACACATCACAATCAAATCACCTACAATCATGTTGTAAGAAAATCAAAATGTAATTTATTTATGTCGTTAAATGAACGTCAGATAAAAAATGCTTCCAAATTTACTGCTACGAGGGCTGCACTGAAAATTTCGGGAATCAAGGAAGTGACACAACATTACTATTTAAAAATGTATTTATTGCTTTTCGAAGTATTTTCCGCGAAATTTGACACATTTTTCATACGATGGAACCAATCATTGAAGCAACCATTCCATTCGGAAGTCGGGGTCTCCAAAATGGCCGTTTTTTAGGCGTCCACAGCTTCTTCAGGTGATGAAAATCTCTGACCACGCTATTTATTCTTTATTTTAGGGAAAGTATAGAAATCATTAGGGCTTAGGTCGGGGCTGTACAGCGGATGGTCTAATAATTTTATGTTTTCTTGCTCTATAAACTCTTTTGTTCTGTGCGCGGTGAGAGAACTCGCATTGTTGTGAGGGAGGATGATGCGGCGGTTGCAGTTCTCTTTACGGAGTTCAGAAACGACATGTGGCAAACAAATACTAGCATACCATTCTGCATTAACCGTTCTTTGTCCTTCAAGAGGAATAGTCGCAACATGGCCGGTTTTGGAGACAAACGTGGCCACCATTTTTTTGCAACACTCCGTGAACGAACAATTTTCGTTGGCTTTAACTCATTTCGAACACCCAAACTCGTGACTGGTTTTTTGTTCCGGGTTCGTACGCATATATCCAGGATTCGTCACCTGATACGATGTTGTATACAGCATTTGAGGATCCTGCGTGGAATCTTTCGAGAGTTCTGACGCACCAAGTAACGCAAACCGCTTTTTGCTCTTCACAGAGCGAATGCGGTATCCATCGGAAAAACAACTTTTTTACACCTAATTGTTCATGCAAGATTATTTGTATTTGACTCATGCGAAAGTCTAAAGTTGCCTGAATTTCGCGGTATGTCACATGTCGATCTTCCTCAATCAGCTTACGCACAGCATCAACGTTTTCTTGGATGACTGCAGTTTTGGACGACCTTGACGGGGATCATCCCTGAGCTTGACACGTCCACGTTGAAATTCAGCAAACCAGCGATAAATTGTGTTTTTGGATGGGGCTTCATCACCAAATGCAGAAATCATCCGGTCAACACACTGTTTTTGTGATAAACCACTTCGAAAGTCATAATAAATCATCGCTCTTGCATTTTCTCGAGTCAATTCCATTTTCTCAACGACTAAACAAGTTTGACAAAACTTTGTGAAAAGACCGAGAGTATTAAAAGAAAGAGTATTTAACAAAAATAAATGGTATTCGAATTTAAAAAAAAAGGGGTTTTCAATTAAAAAGATTTAAATATGACAGGAACAGTACTATTATTCCATTCCCGATACTTTTAGTGCAGCCTATGTAGTTCTCAAATTAAAAGCGTAGAACGGACGAAGTACAGAGTACTGGTAAAAACTCTCCGTCACTGTTTTAAATAGCCAAGGTTTTAACAAAATGTTTGTAAACATTACATCAGGCTTCTCATCTCATATTAAATCAGTAAATTATTTAAAAAAAATTTAAAACATTTCACCTCTATCAACAAGGCATGTTGAAATACGGATACTTCCAATCTTAGAAACCTTACCTAATTACCGGTGAAAGTATGTATGGATGCATGCACTTGAAAAAACATATCTACGGAACTTTTTTTTTACAGAAAAATACAGATTCAGATGAGACTGACAGCGGTTCGCTGCAAATGAAGAACACAAGTGGTATTTTCCTCGTGCTTGCTGTTGGTGGGGTCATTGGAGTGATTGTTGCCATCATCGACTTCTTGTTACATGCCCGAAAAATTTGCGTTAAAGAAAAGGTTAGTTATGTATTTAGCTTTATAATTGTTTGAATTGCGATATAAAGGAGAACTCTAATATACACAACATTTGTTGCATACAGTAAGCAGCATAAGTTTTAATTAAATATTATTATCAAAAAGGTGCTTGTATAGCGTGGGCGAGTATTTGGCCCATAAGTTTGACAATTAATTATAAATAGCCTGACTATATGACTTAATGAAAATTAATTTGACATATGCATGCCTATTTTTGTGTGGCTGATTGTGCGGATTTTTATAATTGATCGATATAAATCGCTAGAAAAACGAGTGTTACTCAAGTGGCGAGGTGCGCGGCTCTTCAGTCTCAGGGCGTGCGCTCCATCCCCGCGCTAGTAATCATTTGTGCCCACCAAAATAGTAACGTTCCGAACACTAAACGAAAATTTGACGGCGTGAGATTGTTCTAGAAGGTCTACCTACTTGCCTTTTAAGGAAAATGATCGTTAAACGATTTCTGCACATATTTTCTGAATTCATACCTTTTTCAAATACGTGATTAGCGATCTATGCTGTGTATAAAACACGTTATTTGGGTCTTATCCTTAGATTCAGTCAATACTAAGGCCTAAGTATGAGTCAAAAACGTATTGGATTTGCCATACAGGAGTGTTCTTTCCCGCTAAGTCTCAACTCTGGATGATCCCAAAGACATGCCAAATTCTTCACAATGTTTTCACAGTAGCAAGTGTCAACTGCATAAAATAGAATCCATTGGTGCACAGCCGTTATTCGAGCTCACGACCTCAGTTAAAATGGTCACGCTTATTTACTAGTCTAACACTTCTCTAGACGATTATCTATCATGACACTCTATGATACTCGCAAAATTAAATTATGTGTATAAATTTTCAAACACAACAATTAAAGGCAGTCGAGGTAGCTATAAACGCAATTCACATAGCTAGGAGTAAGTTTGAATTATTAATAAAGTGAGGTAATTAAACCGTCCCACAAAGTTGCACTACACAGATATTTAAATAATACATTTCCTTGGCAAATTTCCATTTGGAAAACCTAGTTTTCCTCTTAAAAAAATATGACCTAAGCATTTTGCTGCATCTTTGTGCTATTTTTTATTTTGTTAAAATGCCGATTGTGCTCGAAGCAAGGTCGGGCACTCTTTTGTGAATAAAGTATTCAAATATGAGGTTAAAATTCTATTTTAATTTTTAATGTAATATTTAAAAGTAAAAACTATATAATATGTTTACTACTATTATTTTTTTATAACCAGTATAGTAAGCGATAATAAGCTAGTTGACTTTAAATACCATTTTTCAAATTATTTATTAGTGGCTATATGTCTATCGAAATTAAACATTCATAATTCTAGTCGTCGTCCATTCGACTAATCCTTTCGAATAATGCTTTTTAAAACCATGTTTTATACATATTACCAATAAGACTTTATTTCTATTACTGTCATTTAGCCTAAATAAGCCGAAACCATTTTCAAATCATACATTTACATTATTGCATTAGTTACGATGTCGAAAGTCGAAATTAAATATTTTCGAGTCAAGCAATGCGCCTCTTCTAATGCACCTGAATCGGTCAATAATATATGTCGACAATTTGAAACCTTTGAGACTTATTGATGTATAACGATCATTTGATTTGTACCTACTCGTATAATTGAAGCGATCGTGATTAACAATTCACGTGCATGTACGTGAAAATTTCAATCATATTTGACAATTGTTTCTATCATTTCAAATGAGCTTTGACAGCGGTGATGTTTTAAATTCGCTAACACTAATAGGAGAATTTATTCTGGCATACAATAACAGGAAATTATGTATGTAAAATATGTTTATAGGATAGAAATGTTTGTAAATCTAAGTTTGATGGCGCCTCGTCGGACCGGTATTGTGATTTATAATCGTTCTGGTTATTTGTATTTAAACACACATAAATACAAAACAAAATTCTGAATTAGAGTCTCGCCAAAACTATGAAATGGCCTTATATCCTGCTGTTTACCCTCGACCAGGATCACACGCAGGATCGATGTAGAGTACGGTATCTGCATCACTGTGGCGCGGGCGGAGTGTATAATACAGTAGGAGAAAAGGAATTAACCAGAATAACTTTACTATACTAAACCAGTTTTAACTACACCTAAACATATAATATATAACAATTTAAATCAATGTTATGAATGCAGTATATTTCAATCTGCGTGTGTTTGTAATTAAATTCTTAGTATTAACCGATTTTGAGTGCATTCGTTTATATTTATTACTAGCTGATCCGGCAAACATCGTTTTGCCATGCATATTTATAATAAAAAATAAGGGTTTATTGTTGAGGGGTGAAAATTAGGGGTTGTATGTATTTTTTATTTATTTTTCATTATAAAAAATTAAAAATTATCTAAAAATTTTAAAAAAAAATTTGGGGGATGAAAAATAGATGTTGTCCTATTCTCAGACATACCCAATATGCACACAAAATTTCATAAGAATCGGTCAAGCCGTTTTGGAGGAGTTTAACTACAAACACCGCGACACGAGAATTTTATATATTAGATTATATTATATCGGGTCCGCTAGTTAGTTACTATTCATAATAAATAAGTAATATTTACATTAAATATAGCGATGAATTTATCTTCCAGATAACATATAAAGAAGCACTTATAAGTGAGTGGCGCGTGTCTTTGAACCCACGGGAACTGCACAAGCCAGCCGCTCCGCTACGCTCGGCTGCGCCTTCCACCGCTAGCCCGTCTCCGCTGCGTGACCGTTCACGGTCTCGGGCAGTCTCTGTACTCCGAGCTGCTACATCATTTATCAACTTCGATGAAATTTATTAAATTTATGGGTAGCCTCTTATTTTAATTATAAACAGTTTTATTAATTAAAACGAGATTAATAACAGATAGGAACTAATAAACAACGTGCTGGAATGAAATATATGTGCTTATTAACAACATATTAACCAATTTCATTTAATTACACCTTTTTGGTACAGCTTATTGTGTACTTATCAAATAAACAAATTTAAAAATTAAAACGTTTTATTTTTCTAATTACGGGTAAGTAGTAACAAGTAAATAATGTTTTCTTCAAAAAGGCTTTAATACGCAAAGGTTTAAAAAAACAAATGTCCGGTATGATATTTAAATATATTATTATTTCTCTCTCACTTAATAATAATAAAATTCACAGCTTATTTCTGTATATATTTAAACATAGAACAGACTCTCTTCAATCAAATTAAAACAAATAATACCATAGAATATATACGACAAGCTCATAATGACCAATGAATAATAAAGGTCATTATGTGCTTGTGTATAGGTCATATACCAAAGACAATTAAATTGTCTTCGCCTTTTCATATTTATAAGTCAATGTATATTTAAATAAAGATCGTATGTATCGAATAAGATTTCATAACGGTTGCAAACTCTATTTGCTGCGAGTAAAAATGTATATCATAAGTGGCATACATTGAAATATTTAATATAATTATTCAATGTTTATTAAACATATCGATGCTAAATAAATCAGCGGCCGATCTTAAAACCGATGAAGCTCTTGAAGCCATATCCCCTGATGCAGACGAAGACGGCCTTGAATGCTCTACAGGTTTCTCAGTCTCCCAGAAACTCAACGCGAACGCCAATTCCGCCCAAAAAGCTTCCGATTGAGTCATCTGTAAGAAATGTGCGCGAGTTGTTTACTCCAAACTTCAGTATACATTGTTATATCATATCGGTTCATAATATATGAATAAAATGAATGATTTTACCAACTGTTTTGTATCTAGTTACTAGTAATGGAAACCTGGCAGTGGTATACCGCTTTTCTTTATAAGCAAGGGGATCAGCCTAGACACACGTTTTTTATTGTTGGGTCATTCATTAAGAACATTTCATTCTTCTTCCTTGCAGCAAGTGTTAACTGCGCAATTAAAAAGAATAAGCGATCGGTGCACTGCTGGGCGCAGCGGCGGGGTTTTTGCACCTTTAAAGTAGACTCATAACAATGCTTCATCATAAAAATTTCTGAAATATGTAATATGAATTCCACGGTTCTTATTACCACAAAATTAGGATATCAATATTTTATTCGTTAGCTTATAGATTTATTAGTCTATTCCTGATAGATTTATCCTGAATAGTTTTTTTTATGTAGACGTTTCAAGGTTCTTAAAGACTGCGTAAATCATACCTTCTGCTCAATCGCCACATCTTTCACGTGCCAAAGAAACTCTAAAGCACCCATGCTAGCGGCCATGCCACAGCCTATGCCTAGCACAACAAATACTCCACCTACATTGTCCACACCTAGTTCCGCAGCACTTGCACCATCGTCTGTCGCTTCCTCAAGCTAAAATTTGTGAAAAATAGTAATTTGTAGCTTAATAAAAGTTAAATCATTGTATGTCCTAGTATCTCTTCCTCGTATATCCTCAATGTGATGTGGGGCAGACATATTTCTGCATTGGTATTTTTTGAACATATTAAGTCTTCAGTTTGTGAATTGTTTCTAAATGAGATTTGCCGGGCTCTTATCACGGTTTAGTTTTACGTTACAAAGAACGCACCAAATAAAGGGCGACAATAGCACCCATAGCCAGACTAACATAGCTGTCAAAAATTATGATGAAAGTCGGAAATAAATAAAAAATTTCTTTAGTATACAAAATTAACAAGGTACCCATGAATAAGAACACACGTATCACTTATATAGAGTATCATAAACTCTTTGTTTGTTGTTTATGAAAATGTGCCAAGTATATATATTTTCGATACAAGTTTTCTAGGTTAAAGACTGTTTGAAACTTAAGTACTTACAACACACTTCTTAGGTGCATCTTCTGGAAGTTTCCACCATCTATTTTTCAGTTCCACTAATTTACCGCTTTCGGCTAATTTTAGTACAGCGTTGTCTACTGCAGTGCGATAGGATGAAACTGAACATTCAAAGATTCGATTAAAATGTATAAAGTATTTTTTTTTATATAGGTCCAATTTTGAAATTTAACTTTATTACTTAAATATTCACCGAAAATTAAACGCAACGTTTTAAGAGATTTGTTTTTAAGCTCGGACGTTTGTGGTTAAAGCTGGTAATCCAAAAACAAATTAATGTTGATTTTGTAGGGTACAATTCAATACAATTATACGTAGAATGGAATCAATATGTAGAAGACCGAAAAATCTTTGACGCCCGCCAGTATACATATACTTACAGAAAGGCATTGCAATTCCATATCCTTTGGAGTCAAGCAAACCTCCAACTTGCATAAGGTCGCAGTGTCGCTCTAACTGGTACTCGATGGCAGTGGATTCCATGAGAAAGGCGTATTGCCGCTTCCCCTTGTTCACTCTCTCGACTCCTTCATCATTGTTCTTCACAAACACCGACGGTCGTGCTGATTCCATTGCTGTCCACATGCGTTGGTATGTAGACACATTAGATCTCTAAATAGACAACAATATGATTGTTTGATATTTTTGTAGTATAATATTTATTCAGCAAAAAACAGCTAGTTGTTGCGATACCATCTCAACTGACTTTAATATTGTAATAATCAATGTAATCTTGTTAAACATTTATTTTATTTACTTATAATATACTAACAGGCCACCCTAAATTGACAAGAGTGAACAATAAGTGAATAAAATTTACAGACGAACCAAACAAATCAAACATACGAAATTAATTAGGAAAAACAAAATCACATAATAAAAAATACAAGAAATTAACTAACTGCTATAGGAACTAACTGCTATAGGCACTAACAGTGTTGGCCTAGTGGCTTCAGCGTGCGACTCTCATCCCTGAGGTCGTAGGTTCGATCCCCAGCTGTGCACTAATGGACTTTCTATGTGCGCATTTAACATTCGCTCGATCGGTGAGGGAAAACAACGTGAGGAAACCGACATGTCTTAGACCCAAAAAGTCGACGGCGTGTGTCAGGCACTGGAGGCTGATCACCTACTTGCGTATTAAATTGAAAAATGATAATGAAACAGATTCAGAAATCTGAGGCCCAGACCTAAAGAGGTTGTAGCGCCACTGATTATTATTATTTTAATAGGCACTAACAAATAATAGAACTTTTGCCAGTTCACTCAACGGACAATGAAAAAGGTCCGTTAACCTATGTAATTCGTTAACTATATTAATTCACCGAACATTGTGTACCTTAAAAAAACTAGAAGTGGAACCGCCATCCACGGTGCCAAATTTAATTTTAGTTTGCATAGCTAAGTCTTCGGCGCTCTTTATTGAATCATCCATAGCGGCGTTTGTTAAAAAGGCAGCTAAGTTTGCAGTGTAAGACGAGCACATAATGAGAGCGAAAAACCACCACATACCGCACACCCAGCGAGTTGAGTAGCCTCTACGAAAAGAGAAGGATATAAAAATGTAATCATAAAGTTTAAAGATACTTGCGAATATTTAGTATAATAGTCAAGAATTACTCGTTATAATCATATACTATGGTCAACGCGAGTACTATGAAAATAACAGTCGAGTTATGTAAATTTCTATGTACTCGTAGATAAAATTCTCGTGTCACAATGTTCGTTCCCATACTCCCCCGAAATGTTTCGACCGATTCTTCTGAATTTTTTTTGCATATTCAGTAAGTCTGAGAATCGGCTACTATCTATCTTTCAAACCCCTAAGTGATAAGAGGGCTACCTATCTTTCAAACCCCTAAGTGATAAGAGATCACCCCAAAAAAAATATTTTATTTATTAGACAACATTTTTCGTTTTAATTTTTTATGATACAGCATACAAAAATACATACAATTCTTAATTTTCAGCCCGCTACGATCAACCTCTATTTTTTATGATACTTATTTTTATTATATACATGGCAGAACAACTTTTGACGGATCAGCTAGTAATTTAATAAATTTCCATTTATATCCGTTACAAGAATTCTTTTAAGTTTTTGACATACGGATGTCAAACTTAGCGTTATGTTTCGACTCTCAATCTTACCCGAAGATTTATTTAACTAGAAGAGTTAGTTACAAAAAAATGTTACTATGTATTTAAATTCGCTTACAACATTGTATCATTCATCTATTTTTCAAGGACAAGTATGCACCTATGACCAAGCAAAGTCTAAACACATCCCATTATAAAACGTCGTATAAAATTGACTTGAGCGATGATAAATGGCTGAAAATGCATTACTTTGGCAATATATCAGATCCTTGTGTCATAATCGATCCAACGGTAAGCCAGCAAGAATTCTTGATATGCCAAATATTCTCCAATTCCTCTGGAGACTTATCACATGGATGCGGGTTCTCCCAATCATTTGGCGCGAGCCTGCAATTCATTTAGCCAAGTTGAACGTCGCTGGAATAACTTAATTTGCGCAAACCAGGTCGATACGCCTACCTACATTAAGTGGTTCATGTTATATATAGGCTGTAGTATTAGCTACTTTATTACAAACATAATATTATTTTACATAATACTACTTTAGTATAATGAGCTATTGGACAATATTTAAAAAAAAAACAATTTCAGTATATTCATTAATGGAACCGATTTATATATCTTTTTAATTCTGATAAGTTTTGGCTTTAAATATTTCGAATTAAAAATTCATAATATCATGAACCCGCCAAAACTCCCCTCTAGGCAAGATGGCGTCGCACCAGTCCCTATGATTTATCATGCCAGTAAAACAGCAATTACTATTCTTAATTTTTCGATCAAAAACAATCTCTAACGAAATTAAGCTCCAAGATAGAATTAATATTAGATGTTACCGGCGATTGGACTAATCTGTGACCGTTTGGTGTAATGTGACTGACGTATAATCGAAAATTGTGAATATTTATTTTTGTACGCCAGTCACAACGTATAAAAATGTATATTTTCAATTATTAATTTTTTAAATTAATTAATGATTATTTACAGGTTATTTTTAATACTGTCAAATTGCCCATTTATGTCTTTAGAAATTATTCCAATATTCCTATATTCAAAATATAATTTGTGTTTTCGTGGACATATTGAAGAGGATAATTTGATTGTGAAATTGCGTATAAACAATATGATAGAAAGAGACAAAAGAGTATTTTAGACTGCACTTGCAACAGACGATAGTGCCATGACACCATAGCTAAAGTAAACCTAAGTAAATTACAGCTTCGTACTAGGTACGACGGGAAATATCATGTATCAAGCTCATACGAACCTGGCTAAAATATGAAGCAATAACGAAACCATTAAATAAGCCGCGGCCATGTAGATCCAAACGTCAACTGAGAAAGGCTTTAGAAATGAGAATAGCTCGGGTTCCGGCGGTTTGGGCTTTGAATACAGAATACTGATCCCCAATGTCATAAACGGCGTTGTAAAGTCCACAGCTGAACGTCTCTCATAAGTAATGGTGAGATCGCAAATAGCCAAATCTGCCTTCTGTAAAAATCATCTTCTGTATTTAATCTTAATACTTATTTTCTCTTTTATAATTGTAATATAGGGAATATTAAAGGGAATATTTAAATGTTGTGCACACTTGTAATTGATACAAGGAGTATTGTGTTTCTTGTATGTTGTGTTTCGTTAGTGTGCTTTTTTACAATAAATAAATCTTTGTATGTGTTCAAGTGGATTTCAGAATGATAGACAATTAGATAATTTTTGAATTTGACACGTGCAAGGAACAACGTCTGTCTGGTCTGCTACCTATTTTTCGTTAAAACTTTAAACAATAACAGGACATCATTAGCTTGTGAAAGAAACTATTTTTTTTAACGATGGTTTATGGAATTTTAATGATTGTATATTTGTAGGTTTGCACTGAATATTTAAAACCGTGATCCGGTTAATGAATTCTTAACCATTATATTTATTATCCCTAAGTAACATTTTCGAGGGCGAGTTTACAAATTAGCGAGGATGTCTCGAAATAAATGTTGTTTATTTATTTGTTTCCGTACAATCAATAAATAAACAAAAATGTTTATTTTGGAAGCCACTTTTGAAGGTTATACGTTTCCTGTATTTATTGACACAGAGGAAGGGCGTAAATGGGAGTTATGGAATATCTACATAAAGTCTGTACCTGTGCTGTTTTACTCTGGCCAGATTTTATTAAGCATTATTATTATGTAAAAATAGATTTTTATAAACATTATCATTCATATCTTAGATTAAGAGCAGTGTTGGCCTAGTGGCTACAGCATAGGTTCGAGCCCTGGTTGGGAATCATTTTACCTCTTTATGTGCCCATCTAACACTCGTACGGTGAAGAGCGCCAAACCTATTAGAAAAACAAAATATAAAAAAAACGAATACAATCTGCGCCCAAGACTCATAAGGGTTGTAGCGCCACTAGATTATTAATATTATTAAAGTTTACGTTAATTATTTATTTTCTATCAAATTAGTATTAGCTTGATGAATGATAGAAAAAGGTAAAAAGCCTTTGTTTAATGCCGTATGAATAGAAAATGCCACTGGGGTGTTATAATTATTGTATGCTATTTAAATTTATTCATTTTCATAACTTTTGAATGTGAAAAGTAATGTTCATTAGACTCTGCTCGAAAAATAAAACTTGTGTGTGTAGTTATTTACACGCGTTACAAGTTATACTTCTTTGGCGTAACAAGATAAACATATTTTCAAAAATTTTATGTTTCGCCTTATTCTACTTTTGTTGAAAAAAGGGAGACTAACAATAGAATGACTAAAATATATATAGCTAACTTCAGGGTGTCGGTTTTCTGTGACGGTGTGCGCGCGCATCGTAAAAATTAACTCTCATCATTTTCCCCTAACACGCCAAAAGAAGTGTAACTTCAGAAAATGTGTCTCTATAGACTATAAAGTAATAGAAAACTCAATTACTGACCCTTTCTATCAAATGCCCAATAAGGCCGTCCCATTTCTTTGTATCTTTATTGTACGATCCATAACTTTTGTCCGGTACAATCTCTAACTCATAATTCAGATGCAATGTTTCCTTCAATATCTCATGTATCAAATCTTTTGAGTAGCCCTCATAGCGGTCATTCCCTGTCAGTGTTTCTCCTTTTTCAGGCACTCTTTCGACGAGGTAGGGCGCGCCAATCCTCGACACGACTTTAAATGTTTTGTTTTGCCATATTTCTGCTAAACGGTCTGAGACATCGTTCGCACTTCGAAAATGTACGAATCCTGTATCGGAACGCCATTTTGCGATTTTATTAAAGCCACTGTTTGACAGCTCCATTATTTCCACATCGAAGTTGGTGCGGTCTCCCGTTGAATTGTCTAAGGATATTTGGCCAGTTATTCCTGTTATTTCGTTCTGAAATTACAACATTCCCCTTTTATTCTAAAAATACGTCAGACTAATTGCAGCGTTTTGGCTAAAATACTCATCTGTCGTTTTTAATCACGGCGTAAACACAATTTGACACAGAGAGACGAATTAGAATAATTCGAAATAGTCAAGTCGAACGGCAGTTCAAATACGCAATGTAATGGTCTAAGATCCCGATATAATGATCATTGGTCTATAGATCCATGAGTATTCAACGATCCCCGGCTGAGACGAACATCGATGTGATGAGCATTTGGTGTTGTGCTTAGGTCTTGGGTGTTCAAATATGTATTTATATGTCTATTATTTAATAAAACGTATTTGGGGCGGGGGGGAAAAAAAAAAAAGGGACACGAGGGGGGGGGGGGGGGGGGGGGGGGGGGGGGGGGGGGGGGAAAAAAAAAAAAAAAAAAAAAAAACAACGACCTTCACCGAGATGCTTATTTAATGAAACGTATTTTATATTTAATTTAATATGTCAATAAATATAATCCTTATGGGTTGCCTAGCAAATTTCAGTCCAGAGTATTTTAATTAATATTTAAAAAAAACTACTATAACAATTGTGTATTTATTTTTATTTAATTGCCATTTTTAAATCATTCATTATTGTAGTTATATATTTTTAAATTAAGTTTCTAAGCATTTTTTAACGTTAATATAGGACCTCCGTCTAAACATGTAAATATAGTCTATAAAGGTTGTGCATATAAACATTGAAGATGGATGTTTATTGCGATTTTTCCCTGCACTTTATTTTTGCAATACCTCTGATAATATCCCTAAGGAGAGCTAAAACCGTCAACACGAGTAGAGCTAACGGTACGAAATACGTTGCATAATATAAAGCTGGAAGTCACATAAAGTCGAATTGTACTAGAATTATTACACTAATACAATTTTTATATATACAAACAGCAAAAGCAGTGTAAATATACCAAGAATATATTTACACTAATACAATTTTTATATATAAACAGCAAAAGAACTACAAAGTTTAATTTTCTATTTCAGAATACATTTTGATCTACATAATGTCTTCTATAACTAATGGTATAAGTCACCATTTTTTTGGAACAAAAAGGATTTGCTTAGAAACAAAAACCACATCATATACTCGTACAACGCAAACCTTTTTTCTCTTTCAGAGGCCCATTCTTTCAAAGACTTTTTCACTAACGATTAATTTACGAAAACTTTATACATTCTCTAAAAATCTTAACATCTGCTCAACCGGAAACGGAAAGTATTCTTATTGTGGAGCAGTAGTTTAATTATAAAATTGTAAGTGTTATCTAGATATTACTAACTGCCCACGACACCGGGATTCCTAGTGTGAGGCTATTGAACTATCTCTTTTATCTAAATAGCTTTTTTATTATGTGTATAAAGCTTTTTATTCTTCATTCTTCCTTAACAATTTATTTTCAAAATCATACACTTGCATAGCGGAACTTGCCGAATTTCTTTACTAGTATGTTGATAATATCATCGATGTATACTGTAATGTATCGGTAAAAGTAGCGAAACATTGTACAATACGCATGCGACATCATTCTTTGGATACCACCAAACATAGCAAAAAAGTCCTTACCACAAAGTTAAGATAATAATTAAATTAAATATTGATTTGATTAAGTGTAATGTTCGGACTCCAGAATTAACGCGAACTATGACTTTCGCTGGTCAAATTAATACATTTTGTTATTAACATACTATTATAGTTTGCGCTATAACTCCAAGTTCAATGAGAATCTTGCCCTTAAACTCACCGTCAGTATTAATTCGTTAAACTCACTCCCGATTTTCCATTTATTATCGGAATCACATTCAAGAGGTTCTGGTTCAATTTCAAAGTTTTCGGGCGCGTTTTCTACAGAATCGGTTATTAACAGCGCGACGTCGGTCGCCAAAGCAGCCTCTACCTGCAACAAAAATCTGGACCCATAAAACATATGTTGGTTTAAAGACAAAATTCCTAGAAACATTCGTATTTGAAAAGCTACTTTCCAGAAAAGATTTTATCTTGAGATTTAAATTGGTTATATTTTGGTTGGAAAACTGTGATTTAAAGAGTTTTTTGTCCATAATTTTAGTATTGTTATGACGATACACATACAAAGTTATTTTTGCTTTAAATGCGAATCATTGATTTTAGTACATATTAATAAAAACAACTAAACTGAACTTAAGTGTAAAATTCATAAGCTTACCGTAATTTGGTGAGTTTCGTTAGGAAGTTTTATATTGTTAGGATTTCTCGAATTCCAGTCAGCTAGGTAGGAAATAGTTCTAGAATCTGAATGATCGAAAATCCTCAAACATGTAACATTTGAAAGTCCATGGCGTAGTTCTTGCAAGTCCAATGTATGAGCATCTAAAGACATGAGGACGTAACTCTGAAAATGTACATTACAATTAATGAAATTGTATTGTAAATGAAAAGGTATTAAAAACGTTTAATGCATTTTAAACTTTATGGCATTTCTCTTTGCAAATCGTTTTCAGCGGGTTTTTATCGTTGAACTGTTAAAAACATTATAACGTCTTAATAGTTTTAGTGTATAATGTTATTATTCTGTATATACTTTCGCTTTGTATAACTACTTTTGAAGTCTTAATGACTCTGTGCGCATTTAGCGCATCTGAAGGAATTAATTTCTCATACGTACTACGATTGTTTAATCCAAAAAAAATGTTTTAGTTTAGTGAAGTAGGTGAAATATAATATAACTAGACACATATGTTCATTTTTTTCTTAAAAATTCACGCTGCGTAAAGTTTTCGAATTACACGAGAAAAAATTTCTATGGCTCAGTTAACGTACATAGCGCATAAGTCAAAGGTTCTCGTCCCGATGAAATCAGATGTCCTAGTTGCATTCTATTTGACCCTCACCATGTAATCTTCGAAGAACTTAACATCGTGAGCCTGTCGTAAATATTGAAGTACCCTATCAGACGGGCAGTCCAAAATCACTCTAGTTTGTCCCCGGGCCTTGAGTGATTTTAACAGTTGTTTATTATCTTCCCCTCTCTTGAGTCTTCTTACCAGCCACTTGTCTGTCGAAGGAGCGTATTTAAGAACTTCCTGTAATCGAATTAGCCCTGAAACAATATTGGTCTTAATCAAACTTCCGCTAGGCCAGGAACAAACGCCACAAACAAACGTTGTTTACTTCATTGCTAAAATAACAATTCAAGTATCAACCTCGGACAGTTAAATCGTCAAATAGCACAATTAGGACTTACATAGATAAGTTATAATCTTTTCGTAGAGCAAAGATGTAGATAAATGCTAATAGTCACTTAATTAAATAATATTAGTAGTCATGCTCGATATACGCTTTGTCATCTGTACTAGTAGCACTAACAAAAAAAACTTATTGAATTAAGCCAATTTTTCCTGAATTAAAAAGAATGTATATATCAAAACGCTGGTAATGTTACTCTACATTTATGCTTAAGACTAAATATATCATTTCATACAAACTCTTACCTTCATCGTCGTCATAAAGAAAAGTGTAGGTATTCCAGTCACTGTCTTTTACAAATTGTGCCATTGCTTCTGACAGAGCTACGGCTTCGGGATATAAATTGAAGCCTGGCGGAGAGGGTATTTCATAGCCTCTTATTGGTGGAGGTCGCCAAGATGCCTGAAAATATATAGTATTAGTTTTATAAATAGACTGAAGTGATCCGTTATTAATCTGTTTTGCATTGTGCTATTAGAAAACAGGACAAACGAATGCCCAATATTATTGCTTATTGCTTAAATCTGTGCGTGTGTTTGAAGTTATACTATATTTAGTGTGTGTGTGTATTCAAGTGGATGGTTTAGATTTACATTTTTTTTTATGTATTTAAAAGGTGTGTACGGGATAACTTCTGTCGGTCAGCTTGTTGCTGTATACAAATTTAAAATGTTAGTAGCTATGTAATGTAAACTTTATTAATTTTTTGAATTATATCGTTTATAATTTTTTTTTTAAGATAAGACTTTATTTAAACCGCCTATATTACATTCTTGAGGCAATAAGCCGATGCCAAATTCTTACGATACGACGTAAACGGGCTTGGCAAGTTTTCCACCGATAGCCTTTTAGTCAAAGAAACACTGTGTAAAATAAATTGAATGTATTTTTTAAAAATAACATTTACTTACTTTATTTTGACGTACATATTATAATTTATACTAATATTTTTACTAACTTAATCCACTATCGTAGCGACCTAAAATGCTTTTGTGTGCCTTGTATATTTGTGTCGCATTACCTTTCAAACATTATAATGAAAAGGATACATAGGTAATGTATGAAATCTTATTACCCTTTAATTGGTCATGGGGCAAACACATTAATTTTTATGGCCTAATAGAGTCATACATCACCGATTAGGTTTAAGACATTCTGATTTTGCTCCCAATGAATTATTTCACTGTTTAGGATGAGACAGTGCAGTTAGGGTTCAAAATCTTTCACCAGGTCACAGTTGATAATCACACGTTATATAAGCAATGTCATATTTGTTTTTCTGCGGTTGTTATTTCCCGGGGGTTCACCGTTGGACATACTGAATTTAGTATTAATTAGCTGTTGTTTAAATCCGACATATTTTGCATGTGAAATATGTTTTATTTCAGTTCTGTTCTGTAGCATAAACGAAAATCCTTGAAAACGATAATATAAAGAGAAAATTCTATTGAATATATTTGCAACCACTTAAACTACGTTAGTACTAAAAGCTATTGAAAGTTAAGACAAAAGCTAACTTGTATGTGCGGCACTCCGGCTGCTCGACAATGTGCCTGGACGGCGTCCGCCGAGTACGGATCAGTGGGTCCATAGATTGCAATCACACCGCTGGCGAGCAGATCACACGCTGTAAGTCACGTAATTGATTAAAATCCACTAACTTTTGTAGACTTTGTCTTCCCCATATTGTATACTGCTCTCTTTTAATTTAAAAGGTTATTTTTAAGTATAAGACTTATTAAACCAATTAGACATATGACAGGCTTTTAATTTTTGATACCCTAAAATAAAACAGTTTTACGAGTTCTTTCATTTTAGTAATTTGTAAAGCTTTTATATAGCTTCTGACCTGCCTTGGATGCTGCAAAACTGTCTCCGTACGGCGCGTACCGTATATTCATTACATAATTGTACTTTTTACTTTCCATGGAAGCACGAACAAGAGCTGATTCGAAGGCCACTTCCGTTACCGTGTTTGGTGGTAGAATAACACCTAAAAATAATCTTTAAAATTAAATTATGAAAACTCACGTATTATTAAATAAACAGTAGGTAATTACTGGTGTTTTTGAGCTCATAACTTTTACTTTCATTAAATAAATGTTTTGATGAAGGTTTATTTATTAACTAGCTGACCGGGCAAACGTCGTTTTGCCATATATATCATTTATAATAAAAAAATAGGGGTTGATCGTAGAGGGGTGAAAGTTAGAAGTTTGTATGTATTTTTTAATGCTGTATCATAAAAAAATAAAAACAGAAAAAAATATCTAAAAATAAAAAAAAATATTTAGGGGTGGACTACCCTTAACATTAAGGGGGTAAAAAAGAGATGTTGTCCGATTCTCAGACATACACAATAAGCACACAAAATTTCATGAGAATCGGTCCAGCCGTTTCGGAGGAGTATGGCAACGAAAACTGTGACACGAGAATTTTATATATTAGATTTACAATTCGTTACCTTACCAACCTAACCTAACACATCCATGTAAAAAACAGGCTATATAAATTATTAGTTAACGGGCGGCTTTATTGTTATCAAGCGATTTCTTGCAGGCAACCCTAGCATGGGCAAGTAAAAAAGGAAATATCTACTGAACTAAAAGAAAATAAAATTACTTGTAACATTAGAACAAAATAATAATAAAAAGTAAAAGTTAATCTTAGGATTTATGCATCATATCTATAATAGCTTATAACGGGACAGAAGAGAAATATTTAAGAAGATAGTTAATTGAATTCAAAGACTGAGCTCTAACTACTAAAACTAATGTCGTAGGTGTTGAGATTGCCAATGTGTCAAATATTATATTAATCCATGTAAATGTGTATATATTTTATAATAAATCGTGTATTTGTAAAGTATTAAACTTTAGATACCCAGGTTATAACTATTTAATAAAATATCCCTTACCAATACTCAAATGCTTTTTTAACAAAATAAAATTCCGCAATGCTCCATCGCTAAAACCATAAAGCGTTAGTACTATAAGTAGAATTCCTGAAACAGAAAAGTCGAAGTTCACATTTACGATACTAAGCAAATAGGGGTTCAGAACTCCGGGCAAATAGTTCGGAGTTAAAAGTATATAACGATACTTGCCCTGCATTTTTATGATGAGATTTTCTGAAAAGCGGAAACGAAATCTAACGGAACAATGAGAGTCCGCAGCCGTCACATTACAACTTTGTTTCAAACGTGCTCACTTTGAATATTACGTTTTAAGTTTATAATGTATGTATTACCGAGAACAGATGCAGACTGGGTCATTGTAGCCGGTCGATGCGATCTTGGTCAGGAGAGCAGCCAAACAGTCTTGCTTTGACATGTGTTACGTAGTTGTTACGTATGATACATTGCTATGGGTCGCACGTAATGAGTACGAACTAATTTAACTCGCACAAATTGTGTCAACGATTTCAATTTCACGACGTTCAAGATACACACATATATATATTTATTGTGAATAGGGACAGACTAGGCATCAATGGATTTAATTTTTTGAATTGATTTCAAATATGAGGAAGTAATACTCGTATACATGTTAATATGGTGTAGGGAAACATATCTAAATGCTCAACAATTGACTTATAAGAGAATACTTATTAAAATGCTATATTTATAATATGTCCGATGAACTCTACAGTTAGTAGAAAAAATAAAATTAGAAAAAAATAATAACGACAATAATGTAAATTAATAATTTATTATTCATCACAAACGACGATCTTTAACTAAACTATTCTTCATTTACAAATGTATTAAATGTTAAAAAGTAAGAACCATTTAATTCTGCAAATGAATAGTTCATACTACGCAAATACATACGTATAATCTCCTAAGTGCACGTCCTACAAAGAAGAACAATAGACTTGGTAGAATTATATTAATATTGGTTTGCTTTTTATACTAAAAATATATGAGAAGAGATATAAACGGCGCGTTTGTCTATTAAATCGTTATTTATTAAATAAACGTGTTAACTTTAGTTAAACTTAATTTAGGATTTCATTAAGGTAATTACATTAATACAACTTTTTTGCAAATACAGAAATGTTTTATTGCTTGGCATTGCGAAAAAAGAAAGGCATTTTTACACATTAGGCCTCTTCTCTCTAGCGCCAATATTGCTATACTGCATGTAGAAGCACTTTCTGACAAACAACATCTTTTGTTTTGTTATCCGGCGCAAGAACAAAGTGGTAGGTTTCTTTTATATGCGTAATGTTGTCAACAGATGGCACCACATGCTGTTTGCATTCGGAAAAATTAATTTATTAATTATTTTTTATTCGATATTTTATTACTTATTCTGCTATTCGGAGCGGAGAAGAATCCACCAAAAAAGAGATAACTAACATCGGTCCAGCCGATCTTGAGTTATAAGTGGTGTAACTAACACGACTTTGTTTTATATATTGAGGATTAAGTTAATTTATATTACAACTTTTTGGTGAAGATTATTTTTTATGTAGAAATATAATTCACATTAATGTTCCCTTGCCAGACTTTTTCTTTACTTAAATGTAGTAAACATTTTTGTTTTCTCGATTTAAAACCAGAGCCCTTCCTCTTTGACTTCCAATACTGACAACGATTCCGACCTGAATAAAGAGTTTTGGTTCCGAGCGAACCCAAAACCTCCGGTTTGGCATCGCTGTCCCTACTAATAGTGAAGTTACATAGAAAGCGGACAGACCATCAAAAAATGAGGACCACGACAACACGAGTCCTTCTCGGCTGTGAACTATCTAGTTTCACTCTTTTTCACATCAGATGATGTGAAAAAATTGGCATAAAATTTATCAAATTTTATTTAGTCAAACCAAGTCACGGACAACAACTTGTTCTATTTCAAAGCTTTCAATATCATATTTCCATTTAGAATCAACTCATCTTTTAAAGCAAACAGCGTATTTAAAAAGTGTGTCAGGGAAATAGCGGCAGGGATTTTATAGTATTTTTATCTAGCAATGTTTTTACACTATTCAAACTAAATGCCTATCATGCATATGCAGCTTTCAGCATACATATGCCAAACAGGTGGTCTGAATACGTCATGGCCATTCGAACATTTGGCCTATATCCAGGTCAATCGTATTTGTTATATCACTGAGCATAATTAGTTCTAAGTGCTGTTAACTGATAAATTTATGTTGAATGTACAAAATAATGTAAGTAAATATGTTTTATTATAACAAATAAATCTTTTGTATATTACCTAAATACAATAAAAGAGCGCGTTGAGTTAGGTAGTGTTGGTCAAAGCTTTAAATTAGTCTACGAAATTATAGTAACTTTTTTATTGTCTGCAAATAAAAAAATCTGCGTAAGAAACTACAGAACTATAAAACGCCAAAAATGGGAGTGGGTAGTCCACACGCACTCAAGTCATATTGCCAAGACAACTCGACAAGAGTGTTGTCGAGGCAAGGCTGCCAAGGCAAAGATGGATTATAGAGGCAAAGAAGCTGAAATGACCTGGAGTGAAGTCAAAAGAGCTGCCCAATACCGATCAGGTTGGTGTTGTACGGTGGATGTCCTCTGACCTACATGGGGAATGTAAGACTTTAAGTTAGTAAAGTTGTAGTCGTAAGGGTTAGACATATATATGTTACTGTAAAAGCTCGAACTACGGTTAATTTTAAGATTTAAGTGTAAGTCTTATGATTTACCGACATGAGTTGGTAAATGTAAGTATTTCTGCAAATACGAAGATTTTTTCGAGTTTCTTTTACCATTCGAATTCAGTATATGCTAGGTTTTACCACTGTCAGCTGGTAGATGTTGGTTTTAGGAATAAAACAATGAGTAATTCTTAATTATTTACTTTAATTAATTATTAGACAAAACAGGTACATAGTATTATAAAGGTATCATATGATACCTATCATAAAAGCTCGAACTGCAGTAAATCCTATACAACAACCATACAGATACAACAAATCTTTGGAGTTTCTGCAACAATACTTCTACTTCTACTCTTCTCCTTTAACATACATCTGTATGTTGTTGTATGTATACAGTGATCTCACTGTATAGCCTTCAGGCTATAAGAAAATTAGCGCTCGAGAAATTTACATTGTGTCTAGCAAAGGCTGATTACGTGTCTGATTCAGGAAAATGCAGATATCATCTGCCGGGCTAGCGACAAAAAGTACCTGTTTTAAAAGGATTTTCTAATTTCCCCATTATTAACCGCTAAAAGATAGATGAGACGTTAAAAAATTTGGTGCGGTTTGAAAAATGTATTCCATTTGTTTCGCCAAGTTCAGTATGTGTAAATTTTTGTGGTCGGTTGAAGGAAAAATGCGAAAAGCCCGTTGTGAAATCCGAAGTGAAGTTTGATTGAGATCTATGTGATTCAAGTTTTGTTAGATGTAAGGTTGGAATGGGTATGAAGATTGAATTTTTGGGAATTTCAGACAGCATTAGAGATCATAATTAATTTAGTAAAGGACTTTTAATATGCGTTTTTAAATCGTTCGTTCGTGACATATCCATCTATTATAGTAACAATGCCAATGTAAGTTTTACGTTTTAAAACAAAATGCCGGTCCAAAAGCGTTAAATTAATTAAACAATTCTTTATTAGGCAAGGCTTTTGTAAAGCAACCGTAACAGGATATTTATTATTTTAAAACATTTGTTTTAAACTATTACACCTGTAAACAGTTTTTACTGTATACGTGTTATAATAATGAAAAGTAATATAAAGTATTCAAATCAAAATATAATATATTCACAAAAAAAATATCCTTAATTTACAGTTATCAAGTCAAGGATGAAGAATGGACAAGAAGAACTGCCAAGAAATATTCGATATTCATGAAATAAAATAGTAAAATATATAAAATGTCTACAAGTAGTAACTTGTATAATAAATATTCTGACGTTATATTTAACCTTCATTTACGCGTAACTAAGGGCTCCCACACAAAACTGCGAATTCGCATCGCATCGCAAATATCTGCGAATTCGCACGAACGCAACGCAAGAATTTCCGATCTGCTTTGCATCGCACATTCCTGCGATGTTACGTCATCCTTGGTGACACCATTTTAGTCCGCTCTGAGACAAACAATTAAAATGTCAATAAATAAATTTTGTTTTACTTTACCTGATAGTCAGTCCCAGCATTTCCAAAGGCATAACAGGAATTCTTCCCTTGTACGATCGTTTTTGAAGGCATGGTGATAATATACTCAAAAGCTCATCAAATGAAAATATGCTCATTCAAAAATAATCAAAAAATTTATCTTCAGTTCTCAACGCATAGTACTTTTGAATAAAATAGTTCCCATCAGAGTTCATAATCGTAATGAATGGCAGTTTCGCAGTTTTGTGTGGGAGTCCTAACGCCATTTTTATTGAAACGAATGTCAGTATAATGTTTTACTATTGACCATTAGGCCAAAAATAGTAAAATAAAATATATAGTACGCTTTAAGACTATGTTTGAGTTTGTTTGTAAATTTAAAATTGTTGTCTGTTGTGTTATTTAGAAAATAAATACTTAATTAAGTTTGTAGTATAAAACCTAAGACTTAAATTTGTTTCATAAAAAGTGCATATAACACCGTGTTTGCTGCTATTTTTTTCATATTTAAGTATCTACACTAATTATACAAAAATGTTTAAAATAGAAAATTTAATTTAAAATGAAATCTCCATAAGATTTCGTTCGTTGACGTGGTGAGAATTCTCGAAAGAAAATAAGTTTATTCGCTGCACACTTCAATTATATATAAAATTCAGAGTAATACTTACGTTCTTATCAAAATATTATTTAGCTACTTTATAGAAACCCGAATGTCTCTAATAATCACAATCTAATTTTAAGAAACAAAAAAGTTAATATGAGAGAAATACATAAATTGTTAGTGAAATTTCTCTTCTGGCCTGAAGGGCCGTGACACTTCAGCGCGGGCTATTTAAGCTAGCGTAGCTCGGCCGGAATGGAGTTTTCCCGCGACTAGCGCAAGGGCAACTGTCTCCTGCAAGACTCAAGCCTCGGCTTCAGCCGTTGAGGGGTGTGGATGACAACTTTATCCATCGGGCTATGGTAGGGAGTTCCAGGTCGTCGTTTTAGACGTTCCTCACGTAGAA